AACCCCCCCCCCCTAAGAAATACATGAATCAAACAGCACACCCAGCATCAAAAAATACAGTCTGTAGTAATACTCATTTTAAAAAGTTTGATTAAATGTAACCTTTGGGCTGGCAAAATAATCAGGGTACGTGAGACAATAAGTAAATTTATATGGGAATGGTATTCCTTGAGAGCAATGAGCAAATACATTTCTGACATTTTTTAAAGCACCGATTCTATTTTTGGCATCATTTTGATTTTACAAAAAGTGTGCACAAAATAATTTAATGGTTTCCACAGGCGCAGAATTTGACGTACGTTGTCCTGCTCAGCTCTTCCTAACGGATGAATGCTTTCCAAGTATTTTCCCCGAATTTTGTATGCAATTTTCTATAAGGTACATACTTGGGCTGCAGTTTCCTATCATTCCCGTTTTGTACACAATTCTCCCGACCAGACATATTTTGGTATGCATCCTTTGACTGGGGACCAGCATGGCAAAATCTGAAGAAGTGCAAAACCCAAAGCTAAATTGTCTTTAGATTTGTATACGCTAGTTCCAGAAGTCAAATGAAGTCAAGTGAGTAAATGTTAGTCTTGATTAGTTAGCCATTCCTGAGTTGTGCAAAAAAAACCAAATCTGTTGAATCTCTTTCCTAGCAAGACAGAGCGTTTCTCTTTCAAGATGAAGTCCCTCCACCACCAAGTTCTTCATGAATTTCAAGAAACGTGAGGGCAGCAAAGGTATCTTTACTCGACTTTCCTTAAAGCAGAGTGTCAGCAACAAGGGGATCAACTGGCAACTGTCCTACATACACACCCCCAAAACTCTCCTCTAAAAAACGTAAGTTTCTTTTGGGAAAACCATCGGCCGTGATCACGTCACACCATGAAAACCTACGAGATCCCATTTGAAACCATGTGAAAGACACATCTGCTTTAAGGAGTTACAGGCAAGGACTTGTGAGTGCCTCCGCGCTCTGGAGCATCTTTTCACCTTTGACTCAAAAGCACTGCACCGCCCCACTGGTTTTAACAAGCATTTTTTTAAAAGCAAGTCCAAAACCCCCAACAATCTTTCAGTCCTCCAATATGGACATAACCTTTGAGTCTACTGAATTTTGCAAATTATCATACTGGCATATTACATAGAATCCAGTGGTTTTGTAACTCGCCTATCCTGTTTCACTCCAGACTATTTATTATAAATGGTGATGGCTCAAGATCATGGCATACTTAGTAGAAAAAATCTATTCATCCCTCTACCTTTATTTCGCCAAATTCATGCCCTAACACTGGAAAGTTAAAAAGCACCTTCTATTGATGCCAATGGCATTTTTTAAAAAGTGGGTAAATGGAGTTGAATCTTTGGAAAGGGGCAAGGAATAGTGATTAAAGTAGACTTCCCCTACCCACAAAAATAAGTCCAAATCTGGATCAGGGCAACATGTGTTGAAGCAGGGTAAACAAAGTCCAGAAATCAAGCAGCACAACATGGAACAGATGCAAGATTTATCTGAGCCCTTAGATTACCATTCTGCAGAATTCCTGGGATTCTTTTACCCTCAACGACATTCTTTGGTGCCCCACCATAATCCCATACAACCCTCATTCTGGGCGCCTTGAAATGTTCTATTTCCATCCGACCCATGTTGTCTCCTGGCCTTAACCCAAGAAGGATCCACTGATTGAAGAGAGAGCAACTGGTTTTACAGAGAAGTCAAGATCTCCAATCAGGTCTAAAGAGGGGTAGAAAGCTGGCAAAGAGGGCAGCCGTGATAGGACCCAAGATAGGCCACCACCAATTTGCCAGACTTCGAGGATGCAACCCCCCTTCTGGATTACACATTGCAGGGTCCATATGATCTGGTTAGCAGGGGAACGGGAAGGGGGAACACAAGGTATCTGTCCTCCCAAAAGCTACATTTTGGATCCTTCCCATCTCTCCAGAGATCGCCTTCTCCTTGCCTCACTCAGACTTTGACTTCACACACTTCCCTCTTCCCCGGATGTTGAGGAGGAGCAAAAGGCCCAAGGACACAGTGGCAGGTATACACATGGCAAAAGGCTGTTTCAAAGCCAAGAGGCTGTAGATGGCACCTACAGTAACACAAACACAGAAAGGAGAGTCAGAGTTATAAAACCAAACGGCGATCAAAGGCTCCCAACTGTTATTCCAAGCTGCACTAGTTTCCATTCTCTTTACCTGTTTATTCTGTTTATGTATAAATAGGCTATCAGTCAAGTTGCAAAACACTGGGAAAATAACAATTACCAACCAAAACACAGCTTTACCTATAAAAACCAGGAACGTGGCAGAGGTTCAGTCTGATTAAAACAGGGGTCCCCCAACACTTCAGCTCATCAACCCCTTCATGAAGTTTCACATTGTTCATTGACCCCCAAGCATTATGAAAATAATTTAATAAACATTACTTTAACTAATAGTACTATAAATAACAATGACAGCTCAAGGTTGCTTTCGCTGGTGGCTGGCCATATCAACCACTTATTGACCCCCAGACATTTACTGATCCCCTCTGACACCCAGCTTGGATAGTCCCATCAACCCTTGGGGGCCGATATTGATCACTTTGGGGAACCCTGGAGTAAAGTCAGTTAGGCAACATGACGGAAGGATCGCATGAATACATGCTTCAGCTGGACAGAAAAGTCCTCCAGTTGAGTGTCAAGCAAATATCTCAAGATGAGCAAAGTGCTCAGGACAACATGTCATGCTTACTTGTGGCCATACATTCATCTTCCTCTACAGCAGTGTTTTTCAAATTTGGCAACTTTAAGTTGTGTGGATTTCAGTTTCCAGAATTCCCCAGCCAGCACACAAGTCCACACATTTGAACGTCACCAAGTTTGAAAAGGTCACGGCCTTTCCCCTCTGCTGAAGAGATGCTCTTCAACTTTGTCTTTCTATGCTACTCTACAAAGCACATCAGAAGATCAGTATCTTGAAAAACTATTCTTCCCCAGACCTGCTCAATATGCCATCCTCCAGAGGTGCTGGGACCACCCTTCCAGTAGCCCTGCTAGCTAGGAGTCATGGGAGTTGTAGTTTCAACTCATCAGGAAAGATCCCGGTTGGAGAGGGCCACAGCACATCCCAATAGTCCTTGATGCGTTCATCTTTCATCAAATTATCATTATCAGCAGCACCAGTCTGCTGGCACAGTATGATCTAAGGCAGTGTTCCTCAAGCTTGGCAGCTTGAAGATGTGTGGACTTCAACTCCCAGAATTCCCCACCCCACAATAAGAGGCCGGGGCGGTATTGGGCGTAATTTCGCACCATCATCATCCTGACATGATGAAAGGAGAGCAATGTGAGGGGAGGAGCATC